AAATCAACCCGGAGTTATCCTGGCAGCTTCAGCCAGTTTAGCTTACGAGCAGAGCTCCGCCATCAGTCAAAAATCGTCATAGTCTCAGCACGCCATCAGTCAAAAATCATCATAGTCTCTCCCACTGCTGAAAACCGGGTCCAGCTTCCCACACTTTGAAACACTTTTCCAAAAAGAAACGTTGAAGCTCATAAAAAAAAAAAATAGTTACCTGTAGAGAACTCCACCACTTCCCAGCATTTCTTTGATCCTAAGCTATGGGTATTCAGAATCTGAGAATTTCTCGACAGCAAACATTCAGCTCATATGCCATCCATGACCTGTAAAAAACATGCGGCAATGAACGCAAGGGGGCCGTGACAGACTTTCGGAGGCACAGATGTCATGACTACAGGGGTGGGTCGTGGTGCTAAACAGGAAAGGGAAAAAAGAAAAAAATTCCATTTTGACAGAAATTGCCATTTCAAACTTGGGCCATGGCTCATGAGCACACTGTCAGAGGCATTTCTTGCTTTTTCAACTCAAAACCTGCAGCGTCGGTCGTTGTCTCTGTTACCTGCTGAGCCTGCACACGTTGCCTATGTTACCTGCTGAGCCTGCATTTCATGCTTTCCAGATAGTCTCAAGTAGTATTCCTCTGCATACCAGAGCAGCATATCCCCATTTGTCCGGCAACTTTGCATTGGGAGGTGGGATGGAGAATAGTATCCAGTCGTCCCTTCATTCCCACTCAGGGTCTCCCCCTTCCTCCCACTGCAACTTCCACCATATCCATAGCTCATCTGCCAGCGGACAGAGTAACCACACATTCTCTGTCGCCTCCCAACCCCAATTACATCGCAGACACGTCAGATTAAGTTCCATTCCTCTGTGGTTTAGCCAAATGGCCAATGGAACCACATCCAACGACTGAGCCCACATCAGGCTTGCTTGCTTCTGAGAGGGGACCTTCTTTAATAACTTCCAGAGACTTTTGAAATCTGGGGGGGGGGGGGGGGGKGGCTGAACCCTGATTCATCTGGTACTGCTGCATTGCCACGTCCCCTCGCTGTGGCTTCATCAATTGTCGCTGCATCGCTCCGAGTTTCGGACAGTATTGGATGAGCGGTATCTGCTTTCCTCTAGAGTTCTTCCAACCGTACTGCAGTGGTTCTACCCTGTAGTCTCTTGCTAAGCCTTCTAAGAGGAAGGCATGCTTGGACCTCGGCTCCTGTGACTCCCACACACGTACTTCTGTCAGATCCACCGTAGAATCCAATGGAGTTCCGTCCCCCCTGATAAGCTTTGTCCCATCTTTAACCGGTCCGCCTTTTCTCCACTGTCGTAGATTCATTACTCGTGGGAGATCCGGGCCTAGGACCTTCAAAACGTAACATGAGTTATCCGGGTGCCTCACCCAAGTGTCTTTAGCATGCTTGGTGCTCTCCTTAAGTAGTTCATTCCATTGGGGCAGTAAGGCTGCTAGCAGAGCAGAGTAGTGGTCCTCCGGCCTATGGAGTCTAGGCAGATGCTTCCTCATTTCCCCTACAGAAAGCCAACTTTGTCTTTCACTGTAACAGCGATTTCGTCAAAACGGACATTTTATATTTTTTGATCGAAATTTAAATTGTCATTTCCGTGGTGATTTAGGGTCAAAAATGCATTTGAATTTGGGGTATGGGTATACATGCAAGGGTAAGGGGTAAGGGGTAAGGGGTTTGGGGGTAAGGGATAAGGGGTAAAAGACAAGGGGTAAGGGGCAGGGACCTGGAGCAATGTTCGTCATCTTCTATACACTGTTTCCATGACAAACAATTTAATGTTACCCTCATCCATCCGCATGTAATCACAATATCCAGCAGCAGGTTCATACTACTCACGAGCCACTGTGTCCAAAGCCATTCGACGACGTATTGCGGGTATGTCATCAGCGGTGAAAGAGAAATGCGGAAGGTGACCCCTTGCCAATAGCGATGCGTATGCGAGCATGAAGACCCCACACAAGCTAGTGTCACGTTGTTTCGGAACGCCCTCTACGGTCCATATGTGATTAAACGGTTTCGTGTCCACCTCTTTGCCTTGCTGAATCGATCTTTCAAACAAAAACTTTGCAAATCCGCCAGTCACTTTGGCTGCCAGTTCTTTGTTGGGGCTACGGGAGTCGTAAAATTCAAATTTCCTCCTCTTGAAGTCAGCCACAACGAGGGTCCAGTGGTTCGTGTGTGCGATATGGAAAGGGGCAATTATCAAGTCCATATCACTTATTATGATGTCATTTGACCAGTGCTGCACCTCTCGCTCTTGATATCTCATTTCGCTGTCGAAAAGTCTGGCGAAGAAAAACGAGATCAGCACTGATATTCTAGGAATGCGACCCTTTTCGCTTTTAATCACGGTTTCGTTATCGGCGTCGCATTCTACGTGTGTGATTCTACACCAGTTGTCTAGTGCGATGAGGTTCAGGTAGAAGTTGACGACGTTATCATTTAACCAGTTCTGCTCGTCGACTAGTAAAATAAATTCGTCTCGAGTTAGCTTCAATACTTCGTTCGTCCCGTGATTGTGTGTGCTCGCTATTGGGAACCTTTTCCCGTACTCCCGGCATACATTTGAGAGTGCTTTCATCTCCTTCTCTGATAAAGACGATGTTGCGAGGCGCATTGCCCACCCTCTTTTGCACTTTCTTGTATCCGTTGTTGTAATTTGCACTGCACACGACAAGCACGACGAATACAACATCGAAGGGGGTGTAAACAACGGTGACCGAGGCGGACAGGGGGGTAAGAAATGGTCGCCCTTACAATAAAGTAAGAAACGGGTGGGCAGGCGGTGTAAAAAACGGGGAGGGAGACCATTTGAGATACTTGTAAATGGGCAAGTGCCTTAGCATAACATGCTAAACGGAAATGATGTATTCAAGATACGTCATCAATGTTTCCCTAAACTTACACTTAGATGGATGATATTGATGTTCACGACCAATCAATCCTGACTCCTGCCCCCTTTCATCACCGTACCCCAACGACATACATACATATACACAACGCTGCATATCGACGAATATAGAGAGACACACACGCATACTACGACACACTCTTGTTCACCACACAATTTTCTTGTCAACAATTAAAAGGCAAAATCCCGAAAATTGAACACTAATGAGTCTTCAGGTCGATTGTATACAGGAATAAATTTCGCCCACAAACCTAGATTTCAAACAAATGAGCACACACACGAAAACATTAAATTTCCCGGCGAAGAGGATTCCCCTCAAGTTCATTCCCTGTCTCACCCCTCATTGTCTGCAAGCATGAGATCGCTCACGCCCTTTCCGCCTTCTACCCCATCCTCATCGTCCGTCGTCATGTCCTCAATATTGCGAGAACGTGGAGCCCCCCCTGCATTCCCTCCATTCCCGTCATCCCCTGTGACCCCTCCCTGTGGTGTTGTTGTACAATGTGCGTCACCTTTGCTAGTGCATGTGGGCGGATGCAACGACATCCCCGTGACGCCCATCCCAGCAGTGGACTCTGACTCCATCTCCGATGTGTCTGCCAGCGCCGCACCTGTCGCGAGGAGATTCCCGTATGTGGCGCCCGCATCCGCCGACTTGTTGAGTGACACTTTTTCACCTTGTGATGTATCCCCCGTTGCGACAGAGATGGCTCTGATGGTGTTTTTGCCTGCGGGCGTGTTCCCCGCCTCTGGCAACGGAGGCTTCACGCCCAACGTCGTCTCGCCATCTTCCCTTTGTTCACCCATCGTGTTCCTTGTGGCCGCCTCGGGCACAGGGGTGGCATCTTCTCAGGAGTCCATGTCTATGCTCTCGAGCGCGGCGGCGCGCTCGACCTTCCAATCAATTTTGCCGTACGAGGGGCTTGACTGCAGCTCGTAAAACTTGTGTGAGTACTCTAACTGCCGAGTGGCTCCCAAGGCGTCGAACAATTGTTTCGCCTTTGCCGCGATGGATGATTCACTCTCCCCGAGGTTCTCTTTCTGACAGCGGTATAGTATTGATTGCTCCGTCGTCTTCAGCCAGCTGTCCTTTCCCATGCGGGGAAACGGTCTCCAACCCTTCGAGACATACGTCACCGCCATTTTCCACTCCCCGCCTTCGATACATGGCTTGAAAATGTCGTCATGCCAAATGATATCATGGCCCCACTTGTCCTCACTAGTGCAGGCGTATTTGTCACCCAAGAAATACACAGTGTTTGGGTTCGCACAAAATCTGGGAGGAATCGGATCGCTTGGCGCCAGCTTCGTTGGCTGAGCAGGAATATCAAGGTCATCGTCTTCGTCGTCTTCCACATGCGTATATACAACCCGGTCCACACCCGAGGCCACACTGTTCGCGGGTGGCAGGTTCGAGCATCCCTCTGATTAACCCGGTCCATATCCCTTGACGCTGTGCTCCATGGCAGCGAATTTCCCACACCACCCGGTTGCATCGGTGTCCTTTTCGATCTCGAGGTCGGAGTCCAGCGAGTCCTCCTCACTGTCAACGGGGTTAAAGCGTTCACCCGATTTAGCGAGGTCTGCATAGTCCTTAAACGTCAGTTTGTCTTTGTGAAGATCAGACCTCAAGATCTCGCATCGAGCAACGAATGTCTCGAAGGCGCCAGTTAGAGCACCGTGATAATGTTTGAGGGTCTCGGTCACCTTGGCTTTCCTATATATGTATCCCCCATCAAGGCGTCCAACCGGCGCATCGCGGAACAGGTATTCCCACACCTTCAGTTTCTTCGGTCCCAACTTGTGGTACATATCCCTGTTGGTGCGATGTGTGGCACGCGGCTTCTCGAGGCGGCACTCGAATCTCCCATCCTTAACAAGTATGTCGACGAACTTTGTCAAGTATGCAATGTCCTTGACCGACTAGTCACAGACAATGACATTACTACTTGCAAGCAAGAACTTCCATACAAGACCCGCGTGCGCCCTACCCAGCAAAATCACACCTTTTGCCTCTCCTACGAATGAACTGCACAACTTCCGCAACTTGCCAGGTTCTCGCTCCCAAATTGAATATGCGGCACTTTCGTCGCCTTCGACGCCACCGTATTTTCCGAGACACTTCCCGAACTTTTCCTCCACAGCATGCACTTCGGTGAGATCGTTGTGAAGTCGGGGTGCGACAGTTACTTTTCTCAGATCCCCTCCTTCAGCGTGCAGCACGATGGCCATCAGGTCCCGACTGATCGTAGCGATGTTGCCATACCTTGTCACGTCGCTCGGCGGCCTGTCCACACGTTTCCATGACCCGGGTATGAGCTCGATGTCCTCCCAACGGTACAATTGACGCAAGACATCGCTTTGCACATTCTGTGGTGCAAAGAAGAAGAGGACTCAATTTGGACCACAACACTTCGCCATCATTGCATACAGTGCATCGAAGTCCTGCGAGGTCCATGCACTCCTGAAATTCGCGGCCGAGATGTCCACGATGACGGCCCTGCATGCCATTTTTTGTGCGGCAGCGATGATGTCGACGGACGCCGCCATAACCTCCTTTGACCGCATGCATACAGGAAGTAATGTGGTCTGCCTGCCGAGTTTGTCCCACACAAGATGGCATGCACTGGAGGCGATCCGTTTTACCTCCGCTCGAAGCATATCGAGCTTATCGATCGCGGTGTATATAAAGACCTTAAAGTGAAACGGAGCTTCCTTGTACATCACTTCTGTAGGCCCCAAACCCGCACCTTGCCTTGCCTCGTCCACTCCTCCAAGTCGCCGAGGGATCGTCTTCACTAAGTTGCTATGCAGCTTTTCCAGTTCCTTCTCCCATTCATCTGCGCATAGCCTGTTTGAAGCATACCTCTCTTCCAGGTCCTTGTACGACATGAAGAAGTCGTCGTTCCATTCGTCCCCTGCCCTTCCCTCGGCGCAAAACACGACGTAGTTGAACATGCAGACCATGTATCTCTCCTTGCGCATAATATCGAGGAGGCACTCTGTGTTCACCCTTGGAGGCGTGACTCTCACTGATGTTGCCACCACTTTCCGCGACATGAGTAGGAGTAGCGCGACTTCTCTCTCGCGGCATGTCATGTCCCCGAAGTTCTTGAAGTACGTAGGACACAAATCCTTCCAGGACACAGTGGAGCCCTTGGGACCATCTCTCGCATATATGCAGTGGTACAAAGTCCGTTGTCCCTTGTTCTCGTCAGTGTACGGGCCGGGCAGGCGCCCCTCCATCCTCCCCGACATCTCAAGTGGGATCTTGCTGTTGCCGATTGGCAGCTTACCCTCCTCGGACATCGCGAAGAACTTCTCCATCAGCGGCCAAACCGTGCGGGTGGACGTGGCGAGGTTCAGGTACCCCCGGAGTTTGTTACTCCAATCCTTGCTGTATTCGTTGTCGAGTGCCTGTTTCACGAACGCCTTGTCGCACGCCTTCCGCATGCAGGCCCTCAGGAAGTTCTGCCACGTTTTCTGATGCGCAACGGCGACGACATCCTTCTCGCTGACCTTAGCTTTGGGTGCCTCGATCCTGTTGTTGTTGATCCACCATTGCCGCATATCGCGCATAGCCTGCTGGAAGGATAACATCATGGCGCGATTTTCCCGTGTGTTGTCGAAGAGGGAGACATTGAAGCACCCGCTTGTGTGGTCATCATCGAAAAATACGACTCGCACTTTAGAGTACGTGCGGAGGCCGTAGACTTTGACCGCGGGGGAGTCCTTTACAACCAACCGTTTCATGGCCTCGGCAGTATGCTGACCGCAGACAGCATACCAGTCGAACTCTGCAGAGTCTCTCTGGAAGAATTCGTCTGGCGTGATTCGCCTTCCCTGCTCGCCGACGATGACGTTGGGGTCAACCAACGCAAGAACGAGCTCAGGTCTATCCCACACCCCCAAGTCAGCACTGATGGAGCCTGTTATGGCACTCTCGATGCCTCTCACAATGTTCTCAGACAACGAACGGTGGTTAAAAACTATGTGTCCGAAATCGGATTCAACGGGGGTTTTGAGTTGAACGGTTCAACTCCCATTCAACTCGCGTTTCAACTCCCCGTTGAACCGAGTTGAACGTGGTACAACTCGGCCCGCAGATTTGTTTTTTGTAGGCAAAACATAGGTGAAAAAAAAAAAAAAAAATGGGGGTGTAGATTTTTTTGCTCTCTACATCCCCATATTTTTATGTTTATTTTTTTAGCATTAAAATTATTTTTTAAAAATCAAAAACAAAACCAGACTCAAAACAGATAGATTTTTTTTCCTTTTTTTTTTTTGATTGAATGATTAATTGATTGATTGATTGATTGATTGATTGATTGATTGATTGATTGGTGGGAGATGGGTCCCCCCCCCAACCCCCACCCAATCACAC